AAGACCCCAGCTATCATCACAGATGGTTCCCCATGTCCCATTGTAGTACACTTCCACGCGACCTTCGTTTGGTCTTGTTCCGTTCACCAGGCGGATTGGCAGTAAGGCTGAAGACGCAAAAAAGAAAATACAGAGTTAATAAGAAACAACAAATACCAGAATTTGCAAGAATTAAAAGATGAGAAATGAAAATAATACTTAAAAAGGAAGAGAAACTTAAGAAACTTCAAATTAGATTTGGTGAAGAAAAAATCGTTTCTGTCCAAATTCTAGTTGTTATCCGCTATACAGGGCAAAATTACGTGATGCTGACTGGCTAATGAAGGAGGGCTTTTTTTCCGGAATTCGGGGCCGAATTACTAGAAAATTATTGGTAGTTCAGTTGTCTAGCAACGGTCTTAAACTGCAAACTTTTCTTCTCCAAAATGGCTTCCCGTTTTGCATTGGCAGACGAAGAAACCACAAGAAAACTTAAAAGTTTAAGCGAAAATGAGAGCACTAGAAAGAGTACAGGTGTCTGGATAAATGTTTAAAGTAAATGGGCTTCGGAAACGCTACTCAAGTAGTTCCAAATGTGTACAACTTCACCAACTGCCATGTGCCTTTGAACATCGCTGGAAATTCAGCACAATCATTTTAGTCCCAACTCGGGCGATTTCAAAACTTTGAAAACACAAGTAAAATTAATCCTTAATTTTACGAGGAACCATACGATTACCTATACTTATTCATCATTAGATAATATAATAATAGCAGTACAAGGATTCACTTACATTTGTTAAGGTGAACACAAGCCAAGAAACTGAAAACGGCAAGTAAAATCGTTGAGGTGCGGAAAGACACCATCTTGTCTGGTCTCTTCGTTGAAGTGAGTAGAGTGTTAAACTTTGCTCTACTTTTATAAACCAGTTAGCAAAATTAATGTTTGTATAAAAGCAACTGTGAAAACATTAATTGAAGAACAATTAATTGATAATTTAGTTATTTTGATTAAAACATTTTCAAACCTCTCTATCGTAGTTAAGGTGACTGCCTACTTTTGCACGTTCGATTTGAGCTCACGATGTGCGCGCGCTCAAAAACTGCTGAAAAATCTACAAGATTTTGAAGAACCATACGCGTTTTGAGCTTCAACAGTGCAAAACCCTTAAATTTTGCACGGGACTCTCTATTTTTTAATAGCTTATTCGAAAAACTCCTAAAAATCTAGGTTATATCAACATTTTAGAAAGAATTATTTTTTCTAACACATGAATATATATTTTTGTAGGGATTTTTGTTCGACTTTATGAGATTTTTTAAGAGCACCAAAACTACAAAATATGACAAATCAATGTATCTTTTTGTCTTTTTTCGAAAATATCCACGTATTATTGTAGAATGATTTACTAGCCTTCATTCGTGCAATCATAGAGTCTGCAAATAACTATTATCTTATGAATCTTAATTTTTTCTAATCACTTCTGGTGGCTCAATTTTTGCTCCAAAAGCTCGCGCGTAAGCTTCCATTAAATGCTAATTATCTCAAAAATAAGCTCGGGACACCCAATTTTTCTTTCCAGATTTAAAATCAGCATTAAATTTCAATTCGGAAAATCGAAGTTTTAAAAAATGTTTAATTTTTGTCCCAAAAGTAGGCAATCACCTTAAGGAATCAAAATTACCTTTCGCTATTCCTAAGAACATCAAAAATTTCAAACGTTACTTTACATTTTGCCGCGAGAGTTGAAAAACCTCAAGAAAAAAATTTTCATTTCAAAATAAAAAAGGGGTTGTTGCTAGTAGAGACTAACTTGGATAATAATTAAGAAAATTGCTTTTCTAAACTGAGTTGTAAGCGGTAAATCAATTTAATGTAGTTTTAGCTTATTGTTTATTCAGGAGGTCTTTATGAAGTAATGTTTTTCTATGTTGCGAATTTCCTTTTTTAATCAAACGTTGCGTGTTTACATTAGCGTCAATTGTCAAGAACTTAAGACTCCGATAACGTCTTTCTGTTTTTTCTTAGTGCATGGAGAGGAGGGAGAGAGAGGCGTGTCGAAGTATACCAGATAGAAAATGTAATTTTATGGCTTAAGTATATAAAATATATTTGCCATGATGTTTTGTTCGGTCTCATCCTGGATTCGAAGGGTTTCATTCCAGTTCTTCAGTTTTGTTATTCCCTTCTTCATAAAACCCAACGCGCTAAATTCCAATTTATTCAGTCGATCTATAGATAGGTTGACCATGCCATAACTTAGATCAGCCCATGTAGGAGTTGTTTCAGTGTCCGATCTGTAAGTTGATCTGTACTTTGATCAGCCCAGAGGTAGTTTCAGATCGTGATCTGTAAGTTAGCTGTGCCCTGACTTAGATCACCCAAAGGTTGTTTCAGGGTTTGATAAAATATATGTTTTTGCTTTAGGATTAGATTCGATTATTCAGTTGTATAAAAAAATTAATTTTTGAAAAACGTAAAACCTATGTCACCCTTTAAACGAATTTTAACGAAACGTAATCTTACGGCTACAATAAAATGATGCCCTGATGATGTCACTGGAGGTGAGAAAGTACATTTTATTAAAAGCTCGTAAATCGTTAAGCAAACAAAACGCCATATTTAAGTAATTATTTGCTAGCCTGCGGTAGCGGCCCTCAATAATCGGTGTGCAGGCTAATTCTTTGCAATAGTTTATTTTTAACACTCTCACACACCCCAACTGCAAAAATCAGTCGCCGCGCTAGCTGTCTAAGAGTCTGCAGTAAATTGGAGACAGCGGTTATCTGTGGTGTGGCAGCTTTGCAGGTAGATTTGCATTCTCTCAAGGAAGAAATGTTTCATTCAAAGTCCAAAATGTATGTTTTGCATTCTCTCAAAGAAGATATATAGACATGTTTCATTCAAAGTCCAACATGTTTTTGCTTCAGTTCATTTATGACATGGGGGGGGGGGGGTAATTTTTGTTCACTGTACATGCAGAGTTTCATTGAAACCTCTCTTGAATCTTTACTATCATTTGTTTTTCAACTATATTAAAGTTGAAATTATTAAGCTTTAATACTGAGTTTTATATACAGAAGCTATCTGTTGCGCCTTTAAGTTAAGCTATAAAGTTTTAGATTTTTTAAATATGTTAATATCGCAAAATATCGTTTTGCTCAAATCCGTTATATTTTGCTTAACCTCTTATCTTGCCATAAATCCCTGAGCACCATCTTGCTTGCCGCATCCCTTGTGTAGTATATACTAGTCATATACGAGTACAGATGGAGGTATCTGTGACCTCAGATCTATTCCCACTTTGCATGTTACCCATGCTGTAGTCGGAAGTATCTGCATCGGCATCTAGCTTGCTGCAGCAACAGTTTACAACGCTCCATATGTTCTTGCGAAACTGACGGGATTGCAGGCTGTAGACGATAGGGTTGATACTGGAATTGAAGGTCACGCAAACGATTGACACGATGTGTACAGCGTCGTACAGTGCTTCTTTGCTGTAAGCAGAGACAGGATAAGTTACAATGTTAGGTATCCACGTGATACAGAAGATGATTGACACTGTCAGAACCATCTTGGTTACTCGTTTTCGTGCTTTGATTGTTCCTTGTCGAGTAGCTGCTGAAGTGTGGTCGTTTTGCCTGAACCAAAGCCTGTAGGTTACTCTCGAGTATAGGCACACCATGGTCCCGATGGGTATCGCTCCATAAACGAAAGCATTGATGGTACTGTGGTACTTTGGAAAGTCATTGAAAGGCCAGGAAAAGTTGCAAAACTTGCTTTTGTCGTCAAAGTACGAGAAAACGAAGAGAGGGACGTTCCACAGAATGGCAAAGGTCCAGCAAGAAACAGCAGTGATTTTGAATTTTTTCATCGTGAATCGTCCTTTATTGCTGTACGGTTTCATCACTGCAAAATACCGTTCAATTGCAATCGCAACGAGAGTGCACACAGATGTCAGAGCACCAACCCAGGTGAAGACCTCTCCTGTGAGGAACTTACACAGGTACGTTCCCACCTGACCACCAGGGTGGGTGTAGGCGTGACTTAAAATATATCTGGCAACAAAAACAAATAGATGTCAGAGCACCAACCCAGGGAATACCTCTCCTGTGAGGAACATACACAGGTACGTCCCTACCTGACCACCTGGGGAGGGGGTGTTGTGTGTGTTACTCACCTTGGTGCGATAAAGATAGCTACTGTCATGTCAGCAACAGCAAGGTTCACCAGCAGATAGTTCATCGGTGTTCTCATAGAACGGGTCTTTATAACAGTAAGAATAACTAAAGCATTCCCAACAAGATTAGTCATTATCATGACCACAAACGCTGATGTGACTCCATACCACTCCGCCTGAGATATCGCCATGTTCAAGCTCACTAAAACACAAAATAAACAGAAATTAACTAAAATAGACCATGGTCTTGTGTACTGCCGGGGGTTTCAATCAACTGAGAAAGTCTCAGTTGAATCTCATTATCTGCTCCTAATGGTGCAGTCAAACACTGAATTGATATGAGCCAGCTGAATAAATCAAATGACCAGCCTACAATGAAAGGCAAACACTGCTTGTCTTGTGCTATCAATCAGAGTGTATTCTACTGCTTCACTGCCTGTAATGTGTTAACAGAGTGATTTGATTGCTTGGTATCAATCAGCTGAATGAATCTCATTACCAGCCTTCAATGACAAACAAACACTGCCCGTCATGTGCTATCAAACAGAGAGTATTTCAGGATTGCTTGGTATCAATCAGCTGAATGAATCTCCGATTGATAACAGCCTACAATGACACACAAACACTGCCTGTCATGTGCTATCAAACAGAGAGTATTTGATTGGTTGGTATCAATCAAATGAATGAATCCCATTTCCAGCCTTCAATGACTCTGTATCATCTAAATAAACATATTTCTTCGTAATGTTTTTCTTCTCGGGTTTTTTTCTATTGCGAAAGAGGAGCCGTTTGGAATTCCCTTTGGTAGCTTGAATGACTTCAATGTCGGTGAACATATTTCTCTGTCATCATTTGTTTAGATAATGGTAACGCTCTTTAAATTCGATTAACAAACTTTTACGACAAGAACCACGCATCCTTGACATTTCTCCCATCCATCCTTATAGGACACAAATAAGATTAAATTTTGCGCCGAAAACATTTTGTTTCAAACATCCTGCCATCACCCATGAAGTTTAGTGTCTAGCTAATGACAGTGAGTAAAAAAGTCAAACAAATGAAAAAGTATTTCAGAAAATCACATCATAAAAGAGAAAGAAAAAAACCCTTTTGTCAAAGTAAGGAAATATATGAAGTTTTTAAAATGATAAAAACATAATCAGTAGTTAGTGTAAGGGGTAGTTAGTTTATAGACCAGATCAGATCAGAAAGAAGAGAATTAAGTGGAATATGTTTTTGTCGTTTTCGATCCAGCTTGCTAAACTTCCCACATCTATTTTTTCCTATTGTTTATTACCGTCCTAAAACAAATTGCCTCGTAATCCTTGTAGTATTCCTCAAAGCAGATACCGTGTAGTTGTTTTTGGGACAAGGTGTTTTTCCTAGCGCTCCTATTCCACTGAAAAAACTACTGCAACAGTGCACCATGAATAACAAGAATAGAAGAAAAAAAATCCCGTAGAAAATGCTGGTCCTGTATGTTACAAGAACAAAGACTCCGCTTTCTAATGGATAATGGAAAAGTGACAGCCTACTTTTCGATTTTCTTTCAAGTCTCATTTTTCTTTATCTTTACTGTAATTACGGAATTATAGCAAGAATCAACCTTAAATACTTGCCTTTTTGTCCAATAGCTTCAGTATCTGCCTCAAAACAAAAACCCCAGCTTTACAAAAAGCTCCGAGTATTAATAATATATTTTATAAAGGAATTATACACATTTAACTCTAGTTGTTTGTTTTTCGATCTGGCGAGTGATTACTCGCGTCAGTAATCGGACAGCTCATCGTCAATATGGACAAGAAATTGTATATTTTGAACATTATGTTTGGAGAAACGTTAATGAAAAGAAAACCAATTCATGGACCCAGTGCAACCTAACATAATATGGATTTTGGTACATATTTGGATTTTAGTAAAAAATTTGTCACACTTTTGTAAATTCAATTTCAAATTAATTTTTCTCTTTCTGAAGCTATAGTTGTTGCCTATTTGATTAAACCTCTTTTATTTACCAATAACAAATAACAAGCAGGGCAGGTGCTGAGTAACACATGAGGTATAAAAACAAGACCATGTTCATAGTGACTTGCAAATGGAACTTTCTTTAACCAATAAAAGGGCGAGATAATTTATACCATCCAATCAAAATGCTTGCTCGACTGGAAGCCCTGTAAGTGTCACACATTTTTCGACTTCCGCAATAAAATATATTTGTTTTGAAATATCCTATAGATACCATTTTCTCGAAAATGGGAGAACAAATGAATATACATAATGTAAATATCTAATAAGATACAAAACTTCAAAAGTAACTTATTTATCTTCTAATAGTCAAGTTAGAAAAAATATTCGGATGGACAGACGGACGGACGGACGGACGGACGGAATCTTACCCTCTTCTACTTTGCTTGAAGCCATCCCTACAAACAGCAAAACACATATATGTGTTGAAATGATCCGTTGGTATGCCTGTGTCTACCAGTGGTCGACAAGATCCAACCTCTCACGGTACATAGAAGAACGCCTGCTTACAATCGTATATCGTCTTGTGTTAATTGCTTCTGGTTTTTTTGGGAGAAAGTTCGTCAAAATATTTGGTAATTATTTCTTTCTTTTTCTACTAATGTGATTCTTCTAGTGTTCTGTGTGTGGACTCTGGACTCTGTTTGTGGCAAATTGCGCCTCCATAAATGGGCCATGCCGAGAGTCATCACACAGAAAAGTCTTCAAATTTTAATTCTTCGTTTGCAATAGACGTCATAGCCGCCATGTTGGAAGAATTTGACAAAAGATTTTTCAATGAATTCTTTTGTTATATCTTCCAACATGGCGGACATCCCTTTTGTTATTGTGCTCTCTTGGGATTGATTGCAAACCAAGAATAGAATTGGAAGAAAAAACTCATGCCACGCAACGCATACCATTTATTAACAAAGAGAAAGAGTTTAGTTTGAAAAACGCCAGTTCTTTTCTGCTGTGGCTCGCTATTCCTGTGGTAACCATTTATAATGACTGTCATATGTTTGTTTTATATTACAGTAATTAAGCTAAGGAATTTATGATGGAGAAGTCTTCAAGACAAATCTTACAGCAGCTGAGGTCGCTGATGAAGAACAAGACACATGTCAGTGAAACCATTCAAGCCTACATCATCCCATCTGGGGATGCACATCAAGTAAGAAGGACTTTGGTGTATGATTTTTAGCCAGCAGGGGCTTGATATATCCCAGCTGAGTTGTAGTGCTCTAACGGTATGACATAGTAGTTGTACTTTATACATTAGGTTTTTAACATTAATATATATTTTAAAAAAAGATTAACTTTAATTTTTTAAATATTTGTTTGGATATAAGAGTGAATACCTGGCTGAATGTGATCTCCGAAGAGGATTCGTCACAGGATTCACTGGCTCTGCAGGTAAGTAAAAGAGATAAATGCCTAGTACAACACACCATGCTGGGCCAGGGTTGGGCTCAGAACAGTAAATGCTAAAGGCTAGGGTTTTTAAAGATATTGAGGGTTATGCTACCCCAGAAAAGTTTGAAATTCAGGTTTTTGGAATGAACTTCCTAGCTAGTAGTATAAATTAATGTCAGTAAAGCAAAAGGTCTGTAGTTTGATCCCCAGTTGAGTCCACATCCCCACCTTGACTCCTTTCTAATTTTAAAATGAAGCATTATGGATAGAGAATGGAGTGGGGGGTTGGGGGGGTTCCTGTTTATTTGCATAGTCATGTGTATTGTGGATGGGTTTCATGTATGTTTGTTCTTAGGTACTGCTATAGTAACTGAGCACAAAGCTGCCTTGTGGACAGATGGAAGGTATTATTTGCAGGCTGAACAACAGCTTGATGCCAACTGGATCCTAATGAAAGATGGTATGGATTGAATTGAAGTATTACTTGCAAGCTTGGTCATTCATTCATTCACTCACTCACTCACTCACTCACTCACTCACTCACTCACTCACTCACTCACTCACTCACTCACTCACTCACTCACTCACTCACTCACTCACTCACTCACTCACTCACTCACTCATTCACTCATTCCTTCCTTCCTTCCCTCCTTCATTTATTTTTTTGACATTTAGCTTTTTCTCATGAAGCCAGGGACACCACCAGCATTTTCACCAATTGCTATGGGCCCTGTATAGTGTAAACATGGGCACTGAAGATGGTCTTCTGTTGGTCTTTTTATTTAGTGTCTTTTACTTAGCATTATCCCCATGTTTTAGGAATGCTGGACACCCCAACAAAGGAAGAATGGCTTATTCAGGTTGGTAGTAGCCTGCATAGAAGGTGCTACGGGATCAGGGTTGTCAATTGGACTGCGATCCTCTTCTTTAACCCCCTGCACTAGGGATATATCTAGTATACATTGGTTGATTGAAGTATTATGATCATCTAGGTGGATGTAGTCCTGAGAAGGACTGTTTGGTGTGACTGACATTTTGAAAACCTGAGCGGAAGTCATCTTCAGAGTCAAGTGAAGAATAAGTACCTGGATGATCATAATACTTTGATTAACATTCATTCATCTGGTTTCAGACCATTCTATACAATAGTATACATTTATAAAAAAGATGCATGTTTCAAGATSAATAATATAATATTCCTTGGAATCCATATTCATCCATCTGAGCCTGTCATATTTTCTTTAATTTAGGAGCTTTCTAGTGGGTCAAGAGTAGGTGTTGATCCCTTCCTTGTCTCACTACGTAAGTACCTAAGACCTTTCTTTCTACATTATAGTATTTTTGTTAGCTACACCTAACATATAGTCTCCACAGTCACTCATAGGGCTGCACAGTTTCTCCTTTAAGAAAAAGCTGTTGCCATGGAAACAAAACCTAATATAACTACCGCTATTTCAAAAATGAAGAAAAAGCTTTAAACTACACTCTTTGGTTTTTACATTTATGTTTTCCTATTGATCATTGTATTGATGACTTATTTTTGCAGAGGAATGGCAAAAGTTGTCAAAGGTAAATACTTTTTTCCAATACTACAATGCTTTTGTAAGAACATAGTATATTGCTTAGGTAGTCTACACACAGAAATGTTTATGAATTTAACTCCTCATGAAAATGGAAATTAAGGTTTTAATGGTACTTATATGTCCTTTCCATCCACTCTCTCAATAGATGATTACTGAAATTATAGTACACTCAACAAAATTACTCCATCTCTGATTGGTCAAGAGAAGTACAATTATAGCGTTAATYGTACTCCGTAGGAGTACTGAATTAAGTCGCTATGGCAACACGGCCAAATCAATGTCAAAACAATTATTTTCTATCATTTTGTACTTAAATAACATATAAATAAAATTTTAAAGCCGTAAGAACTAATCTTTTTTATGCATTTCAGTTGCGCGATGGACTGAAAATCGGCTGCCAAATAGACAAAGATGAACAGAGTCGCTTCGCATTTTTTACTGAAATTTTGTTGAGTGAACTATAAACAAAAAATTGCACGATCTCGAGTACAATTTGGAAATTAATAGACATGAGTAATGTTTTGAAAGTTCTTGTAATTGCACGAACCTTTGATTTACTGTACAAATAGAAAATACATGCGCATGCCGTGTGCAGTTATGAAGCTGGGGTTGGCAGAACTGGATATATTTTTTTGTGGATTAAAAGGGAATTCTGTCAAACGTTTGACTAATAGCATATACAATCAATTTAAAGAGTGAAAAATTCAATATCAAATCCTCAATCTCAACTGGAAAGGAATGTCCATTTTCATTTCATATTTTCTGTAATGAACACTGAAAAGCTCTAAGACATTCAGAGTTTCACTCATTGATGTTTATTTCTGACCATTATATTTTTAGGCCATGACATCAAATGGACTGTCCCTTGTAAAAACTGAAACCAACCTTGTTGATATTGTGTGGTCAAGTCATGACAGACCTGCTCCTCCCTCAGATGGAGTAACAGCTCTTAGTCTAAATTATGCTGGTAGGTTCATACTCACTGGTTATTTACTGAATCAAGGTTGTAATAGGGATAATCCACTTTCTCTCACCTTTGGAGTCTCAGACTTGACTTGACATCAGACTTGACATCAGTCCAAAGGTTGTTTCAAAGGGCGATTTGTGAGTTAGCCATGCCATGACTTAGATCAGCCCAGAGGTTGTTTCAGGGTTCAATCTGTGAGTTAGCTGTGCCCTGACTTAGATCAACCCATAGGTTGTTTCAGGGTATTGATCTGTCAGTTAGCCATGCCCTGATCAGCCAAGAGGTTCAGTGTTCCAAGGTTTGATCTGTGAGTTAGATTTACCCTGACTAAGGCCATTTCAGAGGGTGTTTCAGAGATCAACAAGATTTGATGGCTTTTAACAAAATGCAATTTGCCACGGGAAATATAGTAAAAAGGGATTTCCAGTGGGTTGGTAGGATCTAACTCTGACACAATCACACATATCATGCAGTTATTATACTTGTTTTAATTAGTAATAATTACATTTTTCCAGGTAAATCCTGGCAACAAAAAATAAAGGAGTTGCGAGAAACTCTGAAGAAGAAGAAAGCTTATGCGTTTGTGGCAACAGCCTTGGATGATGTCGCTTGTACGTTTCTTTCTACATGAAAAATCTTTATTTTCCTTAATGCATTCCTGTTATACAAGGAGTTTTTTTCACTCCAGCCTTTGCTACTTTGGCTAGATGTTGTGCCTATTGTTTATATCACGTGCAGTTCCATTTTTCCTCAGGGTTGTTCAATCTACGTGGTTCTGATGTTGAGTATAATCCTGTGTTCTTTGCCTATGCTATTGTCACTCTAGACGGCATCAGGTATGTCATTGGCATCATCTCTTGCAACATCATCATTATACATCATTGTCATCACCATCATTCCTTGTAAACATCATCCTCATAATCCGTCATTCCTTTATCAACATCATGTATTATCATCATCATCATCATCACCATCATCCACCATCAACATCATTATCATCATCTATCATCATCCCTCATTAACATCTTCATCATTATATGCCATCATCATTTTCACCATCTTCAACGTCATAAGAATTGACTAATGATATAGGTCTGTCGTGATTGCAACCCAAGAACAAATCCGTTTCTTTGGTTTCAGCCTGTTCATTGATGAAACAAAGTTAGATGCCGCTGTACGAAAGCACCTTGGGCTCAACGGGGTGTTTGAAAACGATGAAAGTTTGCATATAACCATTCGGGAATACACTACCATACAGAATGCAGTGAAAGAGATCGCTGAAAGTGATAACAAAATATGGGTACGTTGAATCTTAGAATTAGATGATTGTCAAGGGAAGCCATGTTATTCGTTAAAGACCTTAAACCACTTGAAAAATGGTGGGATTTAAATTCTATATTCTCAAGGGGACTTCAAAAGCCCTTGAGAAGCGAATAGTCTTAGCAAAGTTCTTGACTGATTACTTCTTGATACGGATACAAAAATTTCAGTTTTCTGTGAAGAAATGATCAAATTATGTTGGGCGTGAGTACATGGAAAGAAGAGCCAACAGAGCAAGCAGTTGATGTAATGTATTCTTGAAAATACAGTGAATGAATCACACTTGATACAATAGTTAGAAAGACAATTGAATACCATGGATTTTCTGAATTACAACAACTGAGTGCTATGTAACATGCGGCTTTCTGGGTAAGCGGAATGATGAAGAAAGAAAAGGGAGGGGTCCCATAAAGCCGCTACACAGGCTAACGAATAAATAACACGAACAAATATCATATTCTTTTGTAACTGTTTTGTGTACAGATCAGCAAAACATCAAGTGTGGCGTTGACATCAGCTGTACCCAAGGTATGAGCGCTCACACTTTATTCTTTTACCTCTCACTTACGGTTAACATATACTTCTGTCCATTGTCTGAGCGCTAAAGCGACATAATGCAGGTGACTTCTTCTTTTTCTGCAGTTAAATCTCATAGACGATGCTTCGCCCGTAGCTTATGCTAAGTCTTTGAAGAACGACGTTGAAAGAGAAGGCATGAGACAAGCACACGTAAGGATGTTAAGTGGCAATAGACCCCTAGACCTAAACCTTATCACTGCAAGTAGTTTTTGCCAAAAATACAGTATAAAATGGCTGTGCCGTGACTGTAACGGTGCGAGGTCCCCGTATTTTAATTGTATAATCATTAACCTCGGTCGTTCATGATTGGTTAAAACGGCAGATTAATTAAACCTTGTTGCAATAGATCTCTTTACCTTGTGCGTAATGTTGTCCCATTTCAGACCAGGTGTCATTTTATTGAGAATAAGATTCTTTGTTTGAGTCATATCCATATTCATGTGTCTTCTCATATGCAACCATTAAACAAGGAAATGATACTCTAGAGAATTACACATGGTCTGAAATGGGGAAAATATTGCTCTCAAGGTAAAGAGGTCTAATATTTGTAATTTCTAACGATTTCAGATCCGTGATGCCGTAGCTCTGTGTGAATATTTTTGTTGGCTCGAACAAGAGGTATGTTATGGATCAAGAGGAATAGATCTTTATTTTTTATCTAGTTCAATAAATACTTACATTTATTAATGGCTGGGAGTTATCACACGCAGTATGTTTGCAATTGTTTGCAATTACTGTGTTGTTGGTTGTGTTTATTTGTCAGGTTCCTAAAGACGAACTGACGGAGATAACAGGATCTGATAAGCTAGAAGAACTGAGGAGGTGAGTTTGCAGGAGCGATTGCATGGAATATAAATAATTCAAGTAAAAGATAACTGAATCACTGTCTTTTTGATGTTGTGGTTTCAGGGAACAAGAAGACTTCGTTAGTCTCAGTTTTCCTACTATCTCTGGCGTTGGATCAAATGGAGCCATTATTCACTATCGGTACGTATCATTATCATCTTTGTCAACACCATCATCGTCCTCCGGCGTTGTTAATAGTCATCGGCCATCACCGTCATTGTCAACAGTGTTAATCATCGTCACCATCATCGTCATCACCACCATCATAATCATCATCTTCGCCATCGTCATCATCGGTCATCATTGTCATCACCATCGTCTTCAACAGTGTTGATCATTATCACCATCATCGTCA